ATAAAGAACTGTTTACAGAGAATGGTCCATATTGGTGCCCACAGCCTGTACAGCATGGTTTTTACTGTAGGTGTTCTTTAACGGCATGTAGACTGTAAATTGTGTGGTAAACAAGATGATGCCAACAAATAGCTGTTTGTGTGAAATATAGGGGGATCTATAATTTAAAGGTTCTGATCACTTTACATAAAGAGGAGAAATAGAATGGCATATGATTTGGGAAATTGTTTTGATGAGAGGCAGTTTGGGAGGAAATCTCTCTCCCCTTCCCCACCAATTTTCAGAATTTCTGTGCAATGCATCTGTCACTTTGATGAGCCATTTGTCAATGTGCAAAGTTCACTATTATGGCAGCTTATAATTATTCTCTACGCTGCCTCTTCAAATGTTCCCAGTTTGTTTTTCTCATTCATGACATTGTTTTCTTACATTGTTTTCTTACTGGCTTCAATGCATTATTTTTCTCTTGCTGTGAACACTTAGATAACAGAGGGAAGCTTGTTCGTCCCTACCCCATGGAGCCATGGATGGACTCTTATGAAGACCATATTCATACCGAGGTTACTATATATTTGATGGCATTTGCATACAATTGTACAAAACATTGTTGTTGCATTAAAGAACATTGTGTGAAGAGGGATGAGCAATACAAACACCTTTTTATTTTTGTGTCTCAGATGAGCCAGTCAGACAGCGGTGTTGATCTGAGTAGTGACTCGCAGCTCTCTTCCAGTAGTTGTAGTCAACGCAGCTCTCCTGATGGTGGCATGAAGCCTGAAGTGGGCAAGAGATCTGCGCATCCGGTATCCTCGGGGCAGCCTCCACATGGACACATTCTGGTAAATTTATACAAGTCTATGTAGTGCCGTTGTTCTTTTGAAAGTTCCAACTCCTCAAGATCTCCAACCTTCTGACTTCTGGTTTAGTTAGAAGAGGTTTGGCCGAGAAGGCTCTACTGCACGTGCGCTACCCGCGGCATTTCCCTTTACACTTACTACACAGCAATAAAGTATTAAAATTAACTAGGTTCAGACTAATATAGCACGTTATTAATCCGACTTGCCCCACTCAATATGGCCTCAAGCGACGGCCATATTGAGTGGGGCAACTCAGATTAATAACGTGCTGGATTAGTCTGACCCTAGTTTATTTTAATACTTTATTGCTGTGTAGTAGACATGTGCACCGGCCAAAAAAATTGTTTAGTTTCGTTTTGATTCGGATTTTGCGTTTTTTCGGGATTCGTGTCTGAATGTCAACTAGTTTCAGGATTCGGAGGAAAATGTCAAATTTCTCAAATGTCACTCTGCTGCAACTAAATTTTGTCCAACAAACAAAATTTCGTACAGACTACCGCTTAGTATTTCGGAATCGGATATTCGGATTCGTTTGCATTCATTATATCTGTCATTCGGAATTTGGATACATCCGAAATTCGTTTAGGAACAAAATAAATCGCAAATGTCTACTGTGTAGTATGTGTATAGGGAAATGCCGCGGGTGGCGCACGTGCAGTAGAGCCTTCTCGGCCAAACCTCTTCTAACTAAACCGTAATGGTTGGAGATCTCGAGGAGTTGGAGGTTTTGATAGAACACCATCACTATCCTTCTCCTCTTTGCAGTAGCTGTATGCAAAATGCAGGAAATTTTTTTTTTTAGAAACATTAGGGCTGCAGTTGCGGACTACGCAATATGAAGAAGCTAGTTATCGCTCTGTCATGCTGGCCATGTTAGGTCAGTACTTGGTGTCATTGAGCTGTAAATAAGTGTGCAGATAAGGACCCAAAGTGTCCTTATCTACGTACTTGTTCCAGGTCAGAAAGCCGAAGTGGTAAAGCAAGCAGGTCAGCATAGGAGCCCGGGAGGTCAACATGGTAACCATGTGTGTCTCAATCAACAAATACAATTAACTGAAGAGCGCAACTACCTGAATAAGTACTGGACAGCCTGATGTGACTGGCTGGATGGATTAAATTACTAAGTACTAATAGTCCGACAAGCGGTCTCTCAAAATACATAGACCACTTTTTACAACCAATAGTGTCTTCACTCCCATCATATATCAAAGACTCGGGACATCTGATCAACATCTTATCCATGTACACATGGGACCCGAATTACAGCTGGGTCTCCCTGGATGTGAGCTCCCTATATACATCCATCCCCCATCCAGTGGGCCTTAATGCCTTACACTTCTTTTCGGGACAATCGTCGATTAACCACAATCATGTCCAGTTCCTTGTAAATTGCACTGAGTTTACATTAACACACAATCATTTTTCCTTCCTTGGAAAATTCTACCTTCAGACCCAAGGGACGGCAATGGGGGCCAATTATGCCCCCAGTTATGCTAACCTGACCATGGGCCATTGGGAAGCTCTGCACATAATCCCTTTGCCAGGAGGCTCATATGTTACAGTAGATACATCGACGACATCTTAATCATCAGGGATGGCCCTCCTGAAAGCGTCTCCGATTTTCTAACACATTGTAACGATAACAACTTTGGTCTGTCTTTTACGCACGAGGTCAATAGCACTAGATTAGTGTTTCTTGATCTTGAGCTGTATTTCACAGACCAAAAACCACCCCCATTTGGAAAAAGAATATACCAAAGAGCCAATTCTGTAGGGTAAAAAGGAATTGTACACAGGATATCGACTATGTTGCATCAAGTCAACTTCTCCTTTATAAATTCAGGGACAAAAAGTACCCGGAGGAACTCATCACAGAGGCATATTCCAAATACTCTGATGGGATACTCTGATCCCAAACCAGATGTAGAGAGCAGGGAGGGCAATAGCAATGAGAACCGAAATACGAATGACCTCAGATTTATTACCACTTTTAGCAACAGTTTTAAAGCGATTCAAAAGATCCCAGACTGGGCCGTAGTTTACTTTCCAAACCCTCGATCAATTTCAGAAAAGCAAACAATTTAAAAAATAGGGTGGGACCGAGTTGCTCATTTCAAGCACCCAAAGGTGCACCCAAACACTTTCTTTTTGAGAATATGGTTGGCATTTTTCAATGCAAAAAGCACAGATGCCTCACCTGTCAGTTTATTCAGCACGGACAGTCCCAGTTTGACCATCTCGATAAGGTACATCATATTAAGCAGTTTATCACATGCTCCCATGATCATGTGATATATGGGCTCCCTGTGGGTTGAGGATTGGGGACCACAGTCGTCTTATTGCGAAGGGCGACCTGGAACATAGTGTCCCAAGACACTTTACCATTAAACATCAAAAAAGGATCCAGGACCTTAGGGTGTTTGCAATCGAACACATCCCCACACATTTATCTCCATCAGAACGCTTTCATTCCCTGTGTATAAGAGAAACGTTCTGGATCTACAAACGTAATACTTTAACACCCAATGGGTTGAATGAAGAAATCGAAATTCATACTATTCTTTAGTATGTCACCATTCACTATATCACCACTAGCAAGAACAAAACGCTGGTTTTTCCTGTCTTAGGATGTAGGTTATGGAGGATTATAAACAACAAGAATGTTGTGGTAGCACCCGACAGGCAGATGAGTGTGTGCACACACACCAAGGAGATCCTGATAAAGTGGGCATACTGCCATGCCTTGGCGCAATATTAATTAATTGGGCGTCCATATGCTCCCTATTCTTGTTTCATAGGGGAACCATGTGGATGCATATGATAAATGGTGCTACCCCCAATATCTAGATTGGGAGAAGGTAGTCACCTCACAACAGTTTTAGAGCTATAGTTTTCTCTCCTTTTTTATACTGGTGAAAGATCACCATTTTTTAAAAATAAACTTGATTGTTTCATTTTTATTTCATTTTACATTTGCATCATTATGCAGGACCTTCACATGTTGTTTTTATTTTTAATATAATAAATCTCCTTTGATACAAGATCTATCCCTTAGGGGTTTAGCAACAGACCACCCGGAATGCACCAACAGCAACATTTACTTGCAAAATGCCGTGATAACAACTAACAGAATGATAACGATCATTAAGGGTCCCAGAATTACACTTAGACCGAGGTACTAGAGATCCCTATGATTCATCCCCTGGGTGCCTTCGTGACTCATAGTCCGTCCTCCATCTGGCGATTCAGCCTAATCCGGCACTAATCCGGATTTGACTCCTCCCCCCTGTCAATTTTAAAAGACATCCAGTTTCACATGGCCGACACCGCTCTAAGGCTTGACAAAGAGAGTCACCCTCGAAACGCGTAGCCTACCGCCAGTCCAGCCTGTATGTGGGTTCTATATCAGAGCACATCTCCCTCTGACAAACGAGCACTGACTCACAACACTCACTGCACCCCCCAATGGTTCTTCCATACACGGCGCAGCAACACACGGCTCAGTGTGTTATTCAGCCGACGGGCATTTATCCCTCTCCTGCTCCAGCTGCCGCGGCTCGGCCTGGCCAGCCGAGCACGCGGTGCGGGGACAGATTTTACTTCCCAGACTCAGTTTGGCAGTCAACAGACAACTACCGCTGATCTGACGAGACCCCAGAGACTTCGGATGCCATTCCAGGGGGGACATCTCAACTGTAACTGTACCACTGTAATTTAATCCATCCAGCCAGTCACATCAGTACTTATTCAGGTAGTTGCGCTCTTCAGTTAATTGTATTTGTTGATTTGTGTTTCACAGGCTTCCTCTCCCTGTTTTTGAAGAGCTTTTGCACACCATTCCCTAAACTAAGAAATTGAGAGACTTGTCCACATTACAGGAGTGCGCTTCCATATTTATTTATTTTATATTGACAATGTGTGTCTCAATACAGGTTTATTTTTAAGTTGTGTTGTGGGGCTTAATACTAAAATAATTATCCTTTTTGAGATGGGGTGGGTTGAATACCTATATTGCACATTATTTCTTTATTCTTTGAGGGACATGGCACAATGTATGTATATTGCTGCTTACAGGATAATTGGACACAAACTGAAGAAAAAAAAGAAAGGGGGCCACTAGTGTCTTTTTACTCATCTACTGACCCAATTGTCTGCAGTACTTCAGGTGCTCTTAAACTAGTCCTAACAAATCTCTGTTTATAGTTAACAGGAATCTCTCCTGATCCAATCGGTATGGAGCGTGCCCAGAAACCTGCTTCAGATTGTCAACGAGGACCCAGCACATCCTCTTCTCTCTCCTCAGCTCCTCAGTCTCCAAATCCTAAGGTAAGGTCCAAGTGCTCACATTGCTCTTTACATATCTTGTATCCTATGGTCATGTCACCTCCCTAACTTTGTCCTTTTATCTGATCTTCTGCAATCAACAGGACCAGTGTGCTCCCCCTGGAGGCACCAAGTATGGCAGAAACACACAAGGCACTGCAAGCCGATATTCAGGAATAGTAAGTCCTTGGGAATTGTTGGGACCTATTGTTGCTCTTGGTAAAATGTTGCTGTTCCTCATGTTCCCTGGAATCTTATACATTTTCAGTGTAATGGCCAAAAAATATTGAGATCACTAATGAATAGTACATGTGCCAGATTGTACTGTACTTGTTATAGTATGCCTGCGGACAGCTCTTATAGTATTTTCAGAGCTGTTGGGTGTATTGTAGTAAATTGTGTACAGTCAACTTACAGTAGCCTGTCACTGTTTTTCCGTTATTTCAGCATAATCCTTTCTATTGTCCATTGAGGGGACACGGCTCTGAATAATTCTGAGACGTAGGGTTATGCTGCTGCCTCCAGGAGAAATGGACACTAAGCAAAAAATATAAAGCATGCCATTTTAAGATCCTAACCCCTCCCACCTACCAATTTCACTTAGTGTCCTCAGGGGAATGGATGTTGCCTCCTCTTCTGGTTCATTTTGTTTCTTCATTGAAGATTCTATTACCGAGACCTGCTAGTTGATTCATACCGGATAATATTAAATCCTGGGAGTTTCATTAGCTAGCTGACAAAACAGAGATTCACACCGGATAAGTTAAATCCTGGAAGTTTCTCCAGTTGTCATGGAGCAGGTCGTCTCTGGTCTCAGTACTTATGCTTCATCCTGCTGTGGTCATGAAGCGTGTCGTCTCTGGACTCGGTACTTATGACTCGTCCTGCGGTGGTCATGCAGCAGGTAGTCTCTGGTCTCAGTACTTATGCTTCATCCTGCGGTGGTCATGAAGCAGGTCACAATGATAAGTCAGGTGGTCACATTATTTTTACTGGTCTGTATTGTAACGATAATGAGGTCTGAGTCTTAATATTAAGACTCAGAATTATCTTGTGCCCCAGTTCAGAGCACCTGCAGGTCTTCAATTAGTGATGTGACAGGCCCCTCCGCATCCCACAGAAGAGATGCTCTCTGGCTGTGATCTTTTATTGCCCAGTCCGAGTGAAATTCCAAACTATCTCGCTAAGCCTTTTTATGGCTGTCATTAATTAAAGGCATGGCACCACGCATTCATATATTTGGATTGGACAAGTTAAAATAACCCAAACAGGTCTGCTAGGTGGTGAGCCCCACATTCACACGAAAGTCATAAAACCTGAGTTGGAAGATCAAGTTACATTTTATTAATTTGGGGTTGGGCGGGGATAGGTACACTAAAAGTTCATCCTCCGCCTGCTTTCCCGCCCCAACCCTGCCTAAGGGCTGGCTCCGGGACACCCTCCAAAAGGGGCAATATTCTGTGTTGGCAACTAGAGTGGCTCTTGGTTTTAACATCATCGAGGAACTAGAAGTCTGAACATCGCAGAAGAGTTCCCCTTTAATCTTTAAACATTTTCTGCTGGAAGTCTGCTTGAAGAAGAGCCCTGCAGACTTCCACTTTGGTTCTTGGACTCTGAACTCTGTCAGAACTCACAATTCCAGGACTGTTGAGTATTCTCCTTTTTATTCCCTTTTATTTTGCTGTTGTATATCTATGTTGTCTCTTTTTATTAAATCTTTTTCTGTATATTTTCTGCACCGTTTCTATTAAAGGACGATATAAAAAATCGTTAAGCTCATCTCTACGCTCTAAATACGAACTTAAAGTCTCCTTGCCTCTTTGAAGAGCGCTACTGAATAGTGCGTCCTGTCATATTCCTGTCTGAGAGGACAGCGGTATCATAGACTGTACTGTATAGTGAATCCTGTCATATTCCTGTCTGAGAGGACAGCGCTATCACAGGCATTGTTTAAGTGTTTTGAATAGTCGCAACATTTGCTGGGCACGGTTTGTATTCCGGAAAATACATGGTGGCAGTGGAAGTTTGGTGTGTAAAGGGTTAACTGCGGAGTTAACTAATCCTGGTGACGATCGCTCTCAGTCTGCTGGGCTGAGATTGTGTCCTGCGAACTGGGAAATCTCTGTGCAGGCTGAGAGTGGTATCGCCACGTCCTTGTGACGCCCACACTCGGTTCAGACTTGTGTATGGTCACGTGGGATTGACGTACAGTGGGTTTGGGCCGGCCGTACGTCACATGTATAAAGCTAATCACAATGCGTTCTCCATCGTCCATTAAGGGACACTAGGCATATAAAAAAAAAGCATGCCCCTTTAAGATCATAACCCCTCCCACTTATGTTTCGCTTAGTGTCCTCAGGAAAATGGATGTCTCCTTCTGTTTATTTTATATTATTTTGTTCATTGAAGATTCTAATTCCAAGCGCTGCTGGTGGAATCATACCGGATAGTATTAAATCCTGGGAGTTTCTCTAGATAACTGACAAAACTGAGAGATTCACACCAGGTAACTTTAAATCCTGGAAGTTTCTCTAGTGGTCATGAAGCAGGTCTCAGTACTTATGCTTCATCCTGCGGTGGTCATGAAGCAGGTCCTCTCTGGTCTCAGTAGTTATGACTTGTCCTGTGGTGGTCATGAAGCAGGGGTCGTCTCTGGACTCAGTAGTTATGGCCTGGCCTGCGGTGGTCATGAAGCAGGTAGTCTCTGGACTCGGTACTTATGACTTGTCCTGCGGTGGTCATGAAGCAGGGGTAGTCTCTGGACTCCGTAATTATGACTCGTCCTGCGTTGGTCATGAAGCAGGATGTCTCTGGACTCGGTACTTATGACTCGTCCTGCGGTGGTCATGAAGCAGGATGTCTCTGGACTCGGTACTTATGACTCGTCCTGTGGTGGTCATGAAGCAGCATGTCTCTGGACTCGGTACTTATGACTCGTCCTGCGGTGGTCATGAAGCAGGATGTCTCTGGACTCGGTACTTATGACTCGTCCTGCGATGGTCATGAAGCAGGATGTCTCTGGACTCGGTACTTATGACTCGTCCTGCGGTGGTCATGAAGCAGGATGTCTCTGGACTCGGTACTTATGACTCGTCCTGTGGTGGTCATGAAGCAGGATGTCTCTGGACTCGGTACTTATGCCTCGTCCTGCGGTTTTCATGAAGCAGGATGTCTCTGGACTCGGTACTTATGCCTCGTCCTGCGGTTTTCATGAAGCAGGATGTCTCTGGACTCGGTACTTATGCCTCGTCCTGCGGTTTTCATGAAGCAGGATGTCTCTGGACTCGGTACTTATGCCTCGTCCTGCGGTTTTCATGAAGCAGGATGTCTCTGGACTCGGTACTTATGCCTCGTCCTGCGGTTTTCATGAAGCAGGATGTCTCTGGACTCGGTACTTATGACTCGTCCTGCGTTGGTCATGAAGCAGGATGTCTCTGGACTCGGTACCTATGACTCGTCCTGCCGTGGTCATGAAGCAGGATGTCTCTGGACTCGGTACTTATGACTCGTCCTGCGGTGGTCATGAAGCAGGATGTCTCTGGACTCGGTACTTATGACTCGTCCTGCGGTGTTCATGAAGCAGGGGTCGTCTCTGGACTCAGTAGTTATGACTCGTTCTGCTCTGGTCATGAAGCAGGTAGTTTCTGGACTGTGTACTTATGACTCGTCCTGTGTTCCAGTTTTCATCATTTAATGGTCAGGCCAGTATATTATCCTGGGGATTCCTGTTAAGTCAGGAAAAGGGACGTTGTGTCGCGAGTAGAAAATGTATTTACCTCTTGTGTATAAGGTTTGGGTGTTTTCCCTCCTTTTTATTTTACGTTGGCTGTGTTCTTTTAAACTCCTAATTGGCTAAATGCTTTTATGTGGAGTCCGCTTTAGCATGAAAGCTTGCTCCCGCCTTTTCTTTCATGTGCAGAAAAGTGTAAAAGAAGGAATTCCAGTCATTCTCATTGCTGCAGATTGGCCTGGCAGGATGTGGTATGGGGATTTCTTTTATCTGTTGGTGGATGATCCCTGTCGTCTTCCAGTTTGGCAAAATCTGTTATCTCCGAGCCCTCTAATCTTCCACCCTGCTTCTCGGTTGCTGGCTTTTAAAACCCAAGCGTTAAACGTCAGAGGAATTTCACATCTTATTCCTACTATGCTGAAGGCTCCTGGATCTTCTACTCTTAAGATTGATCACCGTATGTGGAAGGTTTGTTTTCGTGATGAGTCCTTTGGGGTTTTCCCCACGGGCTTTTTGTATATTGTACATTTCCTTCCACTTGTCTTTCCTTCAACATATGGTAGTTCAATGTTTAGCTCTAAGTACCTCTAAAGGGTCCGATATCTGGCTTGTCAGCCCTTTTTCAACGTCCTCTTGCTTCGAATTCCTTGATTTGTATGTGTGGTTCCTCCTGTTAGGTCTGCACTTCCTCTGTGGTATTTGAACTTGGTTTTATCTGTTCTACAAAAACCTCCTTTTGAACCTATTCAAGTCATTTCTTTGTCTTTGTTATTTAGAAAATGTTTCATTTCTTGTGTCCATTACTTCGGCTAGAAGGGTTTCCAAGTTGTCTGCTTTTTGAGAACCCTATGTGGTTCTTCATAAGGACGAGGTTGTTTTAAGACTGCAGGTTTCCTTTTGACCGAAGGTGATTTTGGCTTTTCATTTAAATGAAGACTTTGTTCAGCTCCTATTCATCCTAATGAAGTTTAATTATTTGAGCAGGTTCTTCTAGTTTTTATGGTGCCCGCCCCTCTGTTTTGGACTGCTTTTGCATGTCCCTAAGTCTCAGAATTTTTCAGAGCTGTGTCCCTCAATGAATGATAGAGAAAATAGGATTTTGTTCTTTCCGTAAACCCTTTTCTCGGAGTCTATTAATGGACACAGCTCCCTCCCCTCATTTCCTTTTCATACTGCTTGCTACAGCTGGTAGGTGGAAGGGATAATGCCCTTAAAGTGGCAGGCTTTTAATTTTTTTGCCTAGTGTCCTGTCTATTTCTCCTGGAGGCAGTAGCATTACCCTACGTCTCAGAATTTCTCAGAGCCGTGTCCCCTCAATGGACTCCAAGGAAAGGATTTTACGGTGAGAACAAAATCTTTTTTCTGCCCATTGCAACACAACTTTTATGTTCTAATTGATTTTTTTTTTTTGTCCTCTTTAAAAGTTCCCTGTCTACTTGCAGACGGGCCCCTCTCCTCAATCCTGGGAACTCGCAGCACATTCAGCATCCACTGGACCCCTATTGGACCCTCGGCAGATCAGCCAGTCCCCTGCTCTCTCCGACGGGGCAAGATCTCAGCTACCGGGTATGTGTCTGCAGAAAGCTGATATTTATGAATTTTGTAATACAAACTTTAGTATGGGATATTATGTACACAATCAAGTTATTAAATGCTGGACCAGATTTTCTACTTGCGCTTGTTGCACATCCCATTTTAAAACGATGGGCATTAATATGGAGGTGCCCCCACTTTTCTAGAAAGGCTTTTTATAAGATTTTGGAGTGTGTCTGTGGGGATTTGTGCCCATTCAACCAAAAGAGCATTTGTGAAGTCAGATACTAATATTGGTCGAGAAGACCAGGTTCGCCATTGGCGATCTGGTTTATCTAAAAAGTGGGGTTCAGTTCAGGGCTCTGCGTGGGCCACTCAAGTTTCTTCACACCAGACCCACCAAACCATGTCTATATGGAGCTGTTTTTGTACACAGGGGCACATTCCTGTTGGAACAAAAAAGGGCTTTCCCTAAACTGTTGTCACGAGGTTAGAAGCGCGCTGATGTCTAAAGGGTGTTGTTATGCTGTAGCATTGGCTACAAAACACCTGAGCTTAATAACTTGAAGTGGTGTCCACATTCTTTTGGCCGTAAAGTTTACATATTCAAATTATGATTTTTGTTTTTTCTTTCTCTCTTTGTAGAGGATATGAACCAGAGAGTGTATGCAAACCAATACTACCAGGTAAGTAAGGTGACTTTATTTCCCTCCAGTAATGTCCTCTGCAGGGGACCTGTCATACTGGCTCTGTGCGCTTGTTTTATATCTATGTTTCTTGTATTCTGCATCAGGTGGATGTCCACGTGACGAGCACGGGCAGTGGCTACAGACCTGGAACTCCTTCCCTGCAGCCTTACAGGTGACCATTCCCTGACCTACTGTTAATATTCCTGATCTTTACGCATGTCTCTCCTTAAGGTGGAAATCAAGCCAAAACATTTTGGGGGGTAGATAGTAAAAGGGTAAGAACCCCTGTTATGCTTTTTATTGCTGTTTGTGTCCCGGCTGAGAAATGAGGGGACATCCCGCATAGGGACCCAGATGATCAAACAACCCTGGCAAGAGGGTGTGTTCCCTCCACTTAAAAAAAAATAATAATAATGTAGCTTTGGCTGTAGTACCACCTTAAGTATTTGGCCTTGTAATTATGGGCTTCAAGATGTGAAAAAGAAATGTGTACAGCAGGACTTTGCAAAGTTATTGGTCATCTCTGGGGCCCGTGCTAATAGGCTTTATGCTGTGTGGGTGGCACATTGCTTTGGACATCAGTTTGAGATGCATCTGAGATCCCAAAATTCATAATAGGTAAATTTTACCTGCAGTTGACCTCCTGAGCTACATTTGACCTGCTTCAAGTTGCTTTTGTATCTCATAGATTTGTATAAGGGGAAAAGCTGTTCTAACATGAACAAAAGCTTATTGACACAGGCCCATACGCAGCTTTGTTAAAGCCTTTAAAGCAAACTTCAGTTCCACTATGGGGATGATTAATGTTTCCATACACAGGCTGAAAAGACTTTTAAAGGTATCGCAAAAGCTTGTTGAGCACCGGTACACACCACAAACAGTGCGTTCCAGAGCAGTCAGCCTCTGGAACGCACTGTATCGCAATCTGGCCGGAAACACTGTGGTGTGAACCGGCCCTGAATGTTTAGCAAATATTTTGTAAAAGCCTGTGGTGCACACTGCTCTTCTACAAGCGGAGGCCTGTATGTACAAAGCTTTAGTGTCCTATGAGACTTCTGGCCTGTAGAGTGATGTTGTATCTCGTTCTATGGCAGATCGCAGCCTATGTACCTGCATACCGCTCCTACTCCGGGCTCATCCCCGACTCTGCTGCCGACGTCTGCTCTTCTTTCTGGCATCGCCCTAAAAGGCCAGTACTTGGAGTTCAGTGACCTGGGTAAGGTGTCCGCCGGCAGCTTACTGTACCAGGCACCCACCTTCCTCTACAGCGGTCCCTACTGTCAGGCCCAGGTCAGCGCTGACCAACAACAGCAAATGTTACAAGTGAGTCAGGAGTTGCATGCAAACTTTAGTTTTAGTTCATATGAACTCCAGCCAGACAGCGAACTACACACAATAAAAATATGTTTGTGAACCATTTTACTCATCCAAAGACTTGTAAATCCATTCAGGTAGTCTGTGTGTGTTTTGTGTATGAATTAAACTTATGAATGTTATGTTATGAATTGCTAGCACCCAGTGGGGATTGCCCTCCCTGATAGGGAGCTAGTATAAAGATAGATTTCAGCTAATTATGCTATCGTTTGGAAAAGTACATTTTGATTTTTGAATAGCTGGACATTGTGGTTTGGAATCCAGCTTCAGTCTAGGGATACCTAGGTGGTTTATTTAGTTGGGGGGACAAACTCATACTGAACATTTTCTGTGTAAAAAGGGATCAACTAGAGGGATGTTGGAGGAATATGTTTGTGCTTAGGTAGTGCCCTCAAAATCTGCATTTCTTTCTTGCCCAATGAGGGACACAGGAAGTCTTAGAATTCTTAGACTGTTGGGTTATTTGCTTCCTACAAAAAATGGACACTGGCAACAAAAAGGCAGCTGACCAGCACAGAATAACTCTACCCACATTCATCAGGCCTCAGTTTTGCTAGTTTCCTGGCTTCTATCTTCAGCTTTGTGTTCCCTGTTAGAGGATTTTTCTGCTATATACTGCTCCAGGTAGATTGGTGCTGGATATAGGAAATCCTGGAAGTCTCTCCAGTTCATCCCAAGGACATTTTTGCCATCCTTCATGGTTGCCCTCTGCCACCTTATGAGTTTCTCAGTGGAACAAACCCTCTCCTTCCCGCAGCTGGGTCTGGACCAGCGTAAGGGTCTCAGCATTTTCAAGGCCCAGGTTTCTGCTCAGTCCTATTTCAGAGACTTGTTGGTCTTATATTCCTTGAGTTAGACCTTCTCCCCTCTTCCTTTCGCTGTGACTCTGTGGGATCTGAATCTAGTTCTCTGCTCTTCAGAGATCATCATGTGAACACATCTTTATACTTTCAACCACATGGTGGTGGTTCTTGTAGCCATCACCCCTGCAAGGCAAGTGTCTAAACTTTATTTCTGCAAGCAGCACCTTGTTCTGCTTAAATACATGGTGGCAATGAGGTCCATGGCATTCCTACTTGCCTATTGGAGTATCTACCTCTCGCCTTAACAAGAACATTTTCCCCTGTCCCCCAGGTGCATATTCAAGCTGCATCTGATGCCAACTTCCAGCGCTAGGTCCTTCATGTGGCTCTTTGAGCTGCAGGCAGTCCCCAGTTTACTGTTGTCTTTTGTTGGGCCTGTTAGCCTTTGTTACTATGCTGCCCACCACTCTGTTGGACCGCTTTTGGACATCCCAACAATCTAGGACCTGCATCCCTCAATGAATGAGAAAGAGAAAACCAGATTTTAGTTTTTTTTTTGTTCTCACATTAAAATTCTTCTCTTTGCATCCATAATGGTGCATAGGTCCCTCCGCTCTTTATTTCATGCTGACACTACTACTTTGCTACAAAACTGAGGCATGATGGTTGTGGGCAGGGTTATCCTGCGCTGGCCAAAGGTTCTTTTCTTGCCAATGTCCATTTCTCCTGCGGGCGGCAGTATGACATTCTAACAATTTGTGTCCTTCAAGTGACTTAAAAAATAGTCATTTATTTTTCAGCCTTTTGAGGTTTAGAAATGACCTCTGTAACCTTCGGATGATTGCTCATTTCTGATGACAAATTTCTGATAAAGCCACATTGTAGACTTCATATTATTTTAGACTTGTCTTGAATACGGATCAGCAGTTTTTGTCAATTTTAGGGTTTAGAGTAAAAGTATAAAGTTTGAGCAAAGGTAGAATGTAATGTTTGTTTCTCCCCCATCAGGTCCGACAGGATATGACTTCTGCATCTGATTATTTTTCTTCTCTTCATGCTGGACCGAGTGGATACCTACCTACGGCTCCTACACAGCAGGCACATGTGTGTTCCGTTTCACGTAAAGATAGCGTGTATTGTGTTTGACAAGGAGATGACAGTGCTGCGTGTACTGTACCTGTGCTGTGCATACATGTCATGTTGAGGAGTAGATGTCTGCCTCCACCTCCACTAGATCATTCAATGTTTGCTTTCCTTTCAGGTTCTTCTGTCTATGATGGATGCTCCTCTTCCAGTCATGGGATTTGGTTCCTTATCATCTGGAGGCCAGCAGCCTTCACTTGTCACTGTTGGTCAGACGTTGCCTCCACTTCAGCTCTCTGCTGCAGGCCGCCCGATGTCGCACAGCGTCAGAAATGAGGTCCGGTTATCTGTTATGGCGCTATCATTTCCTTCTTGATGGCTCATTGATCTGATGGGTTGTCCAGGGAATGGGACAGTCAATATTCTCTGTTTGTGCTCAGCAGCAGATTTGTACACAGCAGATGGTGGCTTAGTCAGGAGAGAAGAGGCAGTAGTAGGATATATAATGTTCAACACAATATGTACAATGCACAGCACACACATACTATGTTATGTTATATATTCTATCATTATGGGAGTAAATAATCCCATAATTGGAGAAAAATATTATTTGGTTAATCCCTTTTGTATGCCTTGTATAGGACTCCGGCACATATAGATATAAACACGTTTGATGGTTTCCTCCCTCGAAAAAAGAACTGACCGTTTTCTCTGAAATAGTTTGAGACAAACAAAAGTATTTGGCATTTTATTATTGTTTATTCCATATTTCTTTAAATGCAGACTTTGCTTTAGATTTTTGACTCTCTATCTTCCTTTGAGGGACACAGCTCTGAAGAATTCTGAGACATAGGGTTATGCTGCTGCATCCAGGAAAAATGGACCCTAGGCATAAGGATATTAAGGACATAACCCCTTCCACCTCACACCTCCCAGTTTTACTGAGTGTCCTCAGGAGAATGGATGTCTCCTTCTCTTCTGCTTTTTTATTTTAGTTTGTTTTGTTCCTTCAATGGGATTCTGATGTCAGGAGCTGCTAGTTGATTCATGCCAGAAAATGCTAAATCCTGAAAGTTTCTCTATCCAGAAGCAGGTCCCAGTCAAGTCAGACAATCTTTATACACACTTAGTGGTTTTATATGGCAACCCAGGAGCCTTGTTATGTGCCACGTAATTGACACTTTCAAGTTTCATAATGTGTGAAAAACCCTCTCCTGTATAATAACATAAATGTGTCTGTCGGCAGTATCAGAGCCATTCGCTGGATGTGAAGCAGCCAGATAATCTGCAGTGTGCGCCAGGAATTGGAACTGGTATCCAGGCATCAGTAGGAAGGTAAGGATGATGATGATCCTGATCAGTTCTGGGGGACGGGGTCCTTTTACATGTTTCCAATGATGCATCCTAAAATCTGAACACAATAGTAGAAATAGACATTTGTTGGTGCCAGCAAAGCACAACGTCGGTACACCTGGTAGGAATCGTATATAGTTCATATGCATACGAACAGAATTAAAGTGCACCTCTAGGTTTTAACCCTTCCCTACTCAATCCAAAACGACAAAAACGTTTTGACTTGACATACACTTGTCAAGAAAAAATTAAGAAAACGCTCTTCAATTTGCCTTCATCGTTGAAAATATTCCCATTTCCCTGCGTTGTAACTTTTTTTTAAACACACCAAGTACAGAAATCTACCTGTTCTGCCAGAAATCCAGTTCATTTCTAATGTCCTGTTTGGAATGACAACACATGGCCTTTTCTGTTCTAAAATCCGAGGTGCCTAAAAGTCCTATTTATCTATTTTGTATTGTGTCTTGGTGTGATTTACCTTGTTAGGGCATGTTATCCTGTATACAGGTATGATTTGGATGTACCTGACATTTCCCTTTTTGTGTTTAGGACAAAATCATCACACTCAAGCTATGGAGCTGCCCGAAATCAGCGTCTGGATGTTTATCAGCAGGTCAGTCCATCATCCCTTATGTGCTCCTCATGCAATGCTGTGAATGAGGCGTGTGCCCCTCAAAGACCCATATTTCATCCTAAATAGTGATGATTGTTTAGTATGCACTCTATTCTTTAATCCCCAGCAAGGAGATTCAGGGAGACACAGAAATGAAGCCGGGCCATAGAATAGAATGGTAGTCTGCGGATATATACACTGAGGGTCTTAGTTTATCTCATAGTTTTCCAAGGGAATAAAAGACGTGATATAGTAGAACTGATGTACTTCCTGTGGATAGGATAAAATACAGTACAATATGGGGTTGTCGGCTTTACCTTAGCAGAGAGGTTTAAATTAAAAGAGAACTATGGGGTAAGTGTTTTTCCCCATAGTTCTCTTTATGGTCACGTGAGGACATATACTAACCACCTCCCGTCACCCTAAGCTCTGTATATAGCAAGACCACCACAGCCCGGACGGATACAGACAATCCTGTTGAGCTCGACCCAGCTGCGTGAATGACAGCTGGCTCTGCCTACCTAGAGGCAGAGCCAGCTGTGCCCGCCCCCAGTCCGTTCTGCCAGTCAACACTGGAGAATCGGAGGGAGGGGGATCCCTGCAGGGAGCCGTGACTAACAGTCACAGCTCTCTGCAGGGAGATGATTGAGAAGTGAGCGAATGACGATATGCGTTCTCTCACTTCCCAATCTATTGAGCCGACGTGTAACAGTTTCATTGTTTCATTGTCACACTTCGGCTCGAACTATGAGGATGAGTGATTTTCACTCGCTTCATACTTCTCCTTTAAGCAGACCCCGTCACTAACTTAAAAACAAAATTATAGGTAATGACACAGAAAAATGAAGTATATGTATCAAGTGTATGTGCAGGAAGGGTCAATTCCTTTGCACAGCCCTCACCCTCCTTGCATGTCATAACTCTCTCCTATAGAAGTCTCTAATTTCTGGCTGTTTTGGTCCAGCTCCTCCACTTCTCGCCCCCGTAGATAACCTTTAATGTAGTTGCTGGGGAATTAAGAAGGGGAATACTATAGAGTGTCACTTGTGTGACCGCTCTGAGTCTGCTGGCATCACGTCCAAGATGGTGGTGCTCAGGAGAAGTCTTAGGGCTTTTGGATGTCTACACAAGGGGAGGTCTTTTACAGGTTAAATGCATTCAATGCACATATAATCTCATGGGAAGATTGTTGATGAAATGAATGGGCCTTAGACAGGACCCTTTAAAAAAAGAAAAAAATATCCCGCTATTGTTGAGCAGAATAGTATGTGATGTTGCCTTGATATTGACTGACGCCTATCCTATACTTTTATTCCCCAGGCCTTTCTGCCAGATACTTCGCGCTGGACCCCCAGACCTTGGGAAAGACCACCAACTCGGGATAGCGATCCCCGAAATACAAGAGAGTCCCACACAGAGGGAAATGCAGCACCTTGACTCTCCTGACACCTCTTAATATGGTCCCTGTCACTTAAAATTGTATATGCCTTCTTGCCTAGGTATTAAGGGGAGCGATTGTTGAGAGGATCTTACGAATGACAATAGAAGCCCCTGTCCAGTTTTTACCATCAGAGTTTTGCTCCATTTTTCCCACATCCAGAAGCTCCCCAACAAATTTATATTTTGATTTTTTTTTTTGGTCCCCTTTTTTTCTGATAAATAAAGAGTATTTTCTCCCGCTCCGTTCTTTTATTTAGACCGATCTTCCGCGACATCTTAATCCAAAAGTATGGCCCTGTATAGGGAAAGATGGGCGTTATGGTCAGAAGACATTTGTCCCGTTATATGTCTAATCGATGGACAATAGGTCCCAAGTCTGAAAGAAGTAATAGGATTTTGTTCTTACCAAAGAAATATGTTTCTCAGAGTATTGAAGGACACAACTCTGAAGAATTCTGAGACATAGGGTTATGCTGCTGCCTGTAATAGAAATGGGCACTACGCAAACAAAAGCCTGTCACTATCGACATAACCCCCCTCACATTTGTCAGTTGTAGCAAACAGTACAAAGGAACTCGAGGGGAGGCAGCTGTGTCCCTCAACTGTAAAATCCTTTTCTCAATCGTCCATTGTCTAGGTTGGTGGATCTAGAAGCGGATCAACCTTTTATAGTCCTATCTAAAAGAACAATAAAGAGTCCGAATGCCGAAAGGAAGCTGTGGCTGAAAGATCAACATTAGTTACCCGCACAACATGCAAAAAGAGAAATGTTCTTATGATGAGCCGGAGCTGAACAAACTGAAGGGAAAACAATGTAGTCCTTGAAATGAAAGTGGAGACTATCTTGGAAACCTGCGGTCTTAAAACAACCATGTCCTTGTTAGGAACCAAATAGGGTTCTTAGGTAGAAGACAAAGCAAACAAATCAGAAATCCTTCTAACCAAGGTAATGGCCACAAGGAAAGCAACCTTTTTGGATAACAAGACAAAGAAAAAATGCCTCATAGAGGTTCAAAAGGAGGTTTTGTAAAAATGATAAACCACGTTCAAGGCCAACAAAGGAAAAGGAAACCTATCAGGAGGAACCATCTGTGCAACTCCCTGAGCAAAAGTACGAATCAAGGGACTAGATGCCAAAGTACATTGAAAAAGGACAGACAAGGCAGAACTCTGACGCTTTATGGTTCTTGCTAAATGTTGATCTACCCCAAGTTTAAAGGATAGTAAAAATTTGTAATATAGAAGCGCACGTGTGAAAAATCCCAAAGAATCACACCAACAAAAACCAAACTTTCCATGTATGATAAAACAATCTAGCGAGTAGAACATCTACGAGCCTTAAAGTGACATTAAACCCTCAGATTTGTTAACATAAAACAATACTGTAATGTGTGCCTTACTGTAATCCATGGTTGTTTCCCTTCTCTTTGCTGCTCTTCCTTTCACCTTCACACAGACACCATGTAGCCATTTCAGAGACAAGGCAGTCTGCTGCAAAGGGAAGTTCTCCCCAAGCATGAGAACAGATACAGATTTAAAAGGAAGAGCAGCAAAGAGAAGGGAAACTACCATGGATTACAGTAAGGCACACATTACAGTATTGTTTTATGTTATAAAATCTGAGGGTTTAATGTCACTTTAAGCTTAGTGGGAACAGCAGCATCTGAAATTCCCTTAGGGTTCAACAGGTTAAAGCCAGCAACCAAGAAGCATGGCGGAAGATTGGGCTCTGAGATTACAGATCTGGAAGAAGCCAGGGATTGTCTGCCAACAGATTAATCAAATCGGCATGCCACACCTTGCCAGGCCAAACTGGAGCAATGAGAATGACTGGAATTATTTTGTGTATAATCCTGTGAAGCAGTTGAGGTAACCTTGAGTGGAGGGGGGAAAAATAAATATATATATAATTATACACACACACATTGTGTACTGATGCCACGGAAGCTGCTAAGGCATCTGCCATTGGATCTCACTCTGTCCACCTTGTGATGAGAAGCCAGAAGATCCACATCTGGTGTTCTCCAGTGGTGACAAACTTGTTGAAACACCTCTGAATGGAGAGACCATTTGCCTGGATCAAAGCGTCTACCTGTTGAATGTGCACGGCTGAAATAGCTGGAACCTGAAGTTCTGCCCAATCAGAGATCGAATGTACTTCCATTGCTGCCGCCACACTCCTGGTGCCTCCCTTGTGATGTATTCCATCACTGTAGCATTGTCTGATAAATCCAAATCAGGCACCCAGACAGAAGAAGGGTTTGGAGAAATGACAAACACATTGTTCTCAAGTCCAGGACATGAATCTGAAGCTTTGATTCCTCTAGCGACCAACAAACCTTGCACTTGGCCACTCAATCGATTCGTCTTGTCCAGCGATAGCGGAGACTTGTCCCATGCTGTAAAAATGTTCCCCTGTAAAGTCCTGGAATGGAACTGAGCAAAAGTTACAGCTTTAAACGCCGACACCATCAATCCCAGTATTCTCATGCAGGTTCTAAGAGAGTAACAGCAATGGGATCAAAGTGACCGAACTTGATCCCGCAACATCAATATTTTGTTTTTGAGGACGGAACACTTTTGCTTGAAGAGTATCAAACAGAAGACCTAAATACTCCGAGTGATGTGATGGAACTAGGGAGGACTTGTCAATGTTCAGAATCCACCCGAACTCCTTGAATGTCCGCAGCACCGTCTAGACATTGAGTTCAAAAGTAGTAGGAGACTGTTGAAGTAAAAGACATCTAAGCATCTGCTGATCTGAATGCCCTTGCAATAAAAAAAAACTGGAGCAAGAACTTTTGTAAAAACTCTTAGAGCTGCAGCCAACCCGAAGGGAAGAACCACGGCTTCATAATGAGAGTTGCCTATCGCAAAGGAAACTCTGATGAGCTGTAAATACAGGAATGTGTCGCTGTACATCCTTTCTCTATGAAACCCCCCCCCCAAAAAGAAAAAAAAATCTTGCCCAGCAGAGGCCACAACTGACCAAATGGATAGCATCCAGAATTTGTGAAGAAGTACAAACTCATTGAGTGCTTTCAATCCAGAAACAGACACGGGGAATTGCGAGTGTTTGAACTTGCACTGAATATATTTGCACCAGATTTATCAAGCTAGTGTAATGTTCTTCATAAATAAGGTTTAATAGACTCCAGGAAAGAAGACTTGTAACTTCAGTCAAAAAGCTTAACTGTCGCTTCTTGAAAAAGTGGTCATGGGGACTTCTTAAGTTGTGAGTTTTCGTAGATGATGCTACAGTTTCAGACAGCCCAGAACAAGTGCAAAAAAGGTGCAAAACACATGCAGTTGGAAAAGTAGTGTAAGCTCAGGGCAAAATGGGGGGCACATGTTGAAAGACAGATCTGCACATTAAAAATAAAAGGCTAAAACTGGCGCATCTGCTTTGATAAATTCCCCCCACAGTCTTTCGGTGGGTTTGGGAACTGTTCAAGGTTTTTACTGGAACCTGTTTAAACAGGTAATGGGAATATTAGCACGTGACTCTAACAGACCTTGAACTGTGTAAAAGAAGTTCATCCAACGCTGCCAAGATGTGGGAAGCTGGGACGCAAAGAACTGAAGAGGAAAAAAATATTCCGAAACTGAGTTTCTCATGTCTGCAATTATGAAGGCAACCATTACTTTCTGATGCAGAGCCAATCTGTCACAGCTCCGCTACTGCATCAAGGATATGACATCGTGTTTGGCAAGCATACGTTGGGTGTATTGTTGATTTGAATCTGGTTTGCTTAATGAAGGAAGGAAAGAGTGTGTGCTCCTGACACCTAGATAAGTGTCACTGATATCTAATCGCAGTATAACTTACATGAGGGATGACCCTCTATATCTGAGTGAACATGACATCATCAGTAATGTGTTGTGCGCCCCCCCCCCTCAGTGGGAGGGGTTATAATCTTAAAGTGGCATGCTTTATATTTTTTGCTTAGTGTCCCTTTCTTCTGAAGGCATCAGCATAACCCTACGTGTCAGAATTCTTCAGAGCCGTGTCCCTCAACGGATGATGGAGAAAGCATTGTAATTAGCCTTATACAGACCAGTAAAAGTAACGTGAGCACCTGACGTATCATTGTGACAGCTGACCTAGCTAGGGCTGCAGTACCAAACCCAGATCAGGAGAACAATCATCATAGCATGGAGAATTTGGTGGGGAAAAAAAAAAATTTGCAGAATATTTTTGTAACCAATAGACAACGAATCTGATTTTCATTGCAGAATTTTCTGTGTATATGTGCATTGCATTTTCCTCTGAACACAATTGGTCAGAAGGTTCCAGTGACTACCTGAAGAACTGATGTTGAAGATCTGCCTGTATGTGGTCATCTTTAAGTGAATCTAAACAGCCATTTTCAGCATTTAACAGCCCCAATTCAACAACATGTTGATGGTGTTAACTTAATACCCAAGAACCCCTCTAGATCTAGTTTCACTCGGTTACTGAAGGCCTTACTTCCCTGACCCCACTGAACACATACTTAGCTCGAACACTTAATTGTAGTCTTTCTATGGGCAGATGCCACTGCATGTTTGCTATTTATGTTATTGGCCAGAAAAGCCTCTCCTATGTCCCACTCTGATTGAGGTGGCCTTTGTGACTAAGGCGGGATGTTGTTTGACTTTTAACTGCTAGTGCACTGTCCATTGACAACTGCCTTAATCCACCAGGGCAGCAAGAAAGTGGCAGTGGGCGAGGCTTCACAGGAAAGTCAAGCCCCAGAAACAGTCACACTAAAGGGTTAGTTCACACCGGCCAGTGCGATCCGGCCCGATTGATGGCACTTGCAGCATTTTTCGGACCGGATCACATCCATTGATGTGCCACACGTCCCCTTGCAGCCGATTGCACTGCGGCCGGAGGGCGTGGCTGTGGTGCCATTGAGTTCAATGTACCACCACACCGCCCCCCCCACCCCAACACAAAGCATTCAGGCCGGAACACGCTGTGGCTGGTGTGAACGAGGCCTAAACCGGAGAGGGGCACAAAATAAACTTTCCTGTTAATAATACGCAGTCCCTGGAATTCATAAAGAGCATCGCAGACACCTGACAGAATTTTGCCAGTGACGCAATACATACACGTGACAATTTATTCCAACACGGAAGGGGGTCTTATTTCCCTCCACTTTGCTGACCACCAATATAGCGGCATTTCTTAATTTGTAGCAGCAATACCGCAACAACGTTGCACATAACTACCTGAATTTGTTGCACGGTTTTCATGAATTTAGCACAGGACTAATAGGCCAGAAGAGAGTTGCATGTTTTATTGAATTGCTCCCTATATCACTAAGGGGGAATCTATCAAACCTGGAACAGACAAAATTTAGAGCTGTTGCCCATGACAACCAATCAGCGTCTCTCTTCAGTTTGCTCAGGTCCGATTAGAAAATGAGAAAGAAGCTGATTGGTTGTCATGCACAACTGCTCCAGTTTTGATATATTCCCTTCTAAATGTTTTCGGACTCCCAACCAGTACACCTATAAAGAGCTTGTTGGACATTAGTAACACATTGGCCTCCCGTTGCAGATAGAACAGCCTCCACTCTTCTGGGAAGGCTTTCTACAAGATTTTGTAGTGCATCTGTGCAAATTTGTGCCAACTCAGCCACACATTCATTTGTAAGGTGCGGTACTGATGTTGAATGAAAAGATTGGACTCGCAATCAGCATTCCAACTCATTCTAAAGGTGCTCAGTAGAGTTGAGGTCTGGGCTCTGTGTAGGCCACTAAAGTTCCTCCACTTCAGACTCATCAAACCATGTTCTTTTGGAGCTCATTTTGTAGACAGGGGCACATTCATGCTGGAACAGTAAAGGACCTTCCCCCAAACAGTTGTCGCATGGGTGAAAGTGCACAACTGTCCAGTAAAAGGATTTGTGTATTCACTGTAACATCCTTGTCTTGGAGTTCATTGAGGGACACAAGAGTTGTTAGACTGGCAGTATAACCCGAGAGTCTAAAATGTCACATGTCCCTCAATGGATATCTTTGTATGATGTAGCATTGACTGCCCCCTTTACTGGAAACATCGGAGCTGGATTTTGAGGCAAGTCCACATATACGTTTGGCCATAGAGTAGGTGTACTCAGGTCAGGTGTCCACAAACCTTGGTCATACCATGTAGTAGGCACTCTGGTGTCTGCCCTCGGACAGGATTTTTACATAAGGATATACAAGGTGTCTAGAACACAAATAGCACTAAACCAAACAACATATGATGACAAAGATTCAGATGGTTACCTAGAAGGATCCCATTCATGAGACATCACTCAATATGACCTCCATATATCAGGAGGAGCGATCGGGAATTAATTCCCCATTGAAGGGCAGGTTCATCGTTTCTGATCTCTGCCAAAAGATGTTCTATCACTTTACACTCCGGGTTACCAGTATTCACCTGAAGATGTGACACGTTTCAGTGTTGTCTCAGAAGACTTTTATTTAGGGGTAATAAATTTGTGGGGGGCGGGTTACACAGGGACTGTGCGTTGCTTTTAAAAGGGGGAGTAGAGCAGCCATTACACACTGAAATCCCCCCCCATTCATAGCAGTAAGAAAAGTGCGTTCTGTTTCCAGGCCGATCTCGGCGTAGACGTGAAGTCATGATTTCCGATGTCTGCCGGACCTGCTGAGCTTCTTGATGCAGACGGGGAGTTCCATATAAAAGCTTTGTGTGAGTCTTGTAGCACAACAGGTTTCAAACATGGAGGGGGGAACACAGTGAACAAGTAGGAGTCTCGATACTGGGGTACAAGTCATGTAAGCCATATCCATACAACAGAACTGAGGTACACGTAGGACAATTTATTAGGAATACACAGGAGAGGGGCCTGGAGGTCTAGGGGTCCCCCTTGAATGCTCTCTGCGTGTTCGGGAACCTCTGAGGATTATACGACTCGTTGTCTTGTAGAATTTTCTGGATATCCTGACACAGCTGGAAAAAAAAACATCATTACACTAAAAACCTTGCCATACAATACGAGTTCATGGCAGTACAAGGAGAGAAACGCCAGCCATTTATTTATGGGTTGAGTGTGTCAAGTTCTGAATTCTGTGTCCCTGTTAAAGTTTCCCTCCACTTCCTGTCCCAAGGACGGTGGTCACCAGACCAGGTCTTTTAAAGGAAATCATTTCATAGAAGCGGTCGCTGCTGTTGCTCATTCTTGGTGAGCTTATTGCTTCGATACTCCAAGTCACCAACCCTGAGGGGTGTACAGATAAAGAATTCGGACTTTCCTGATCTGCAGACTCGTCTGAAGTCAGGCAACCAGCATTTCCAGAAGGAAGTCACAATGGCAGCCTCTAGGAAATGGTTTACTCCAGGGGTAGGCACTCCAGCTGTGTTAAAATTACAAAATCCCATCATGCCTCTGCAAGTCATGCCTGTGGGCTGTCAGAGTTTGCAATGTCTTGTGGGACTTGTAGTTCCTCAACAGCTGGAGTGCCGAGGTTATAACTTGTTTTGTGCTTTGTATTGCATGGAGAAGTCTTTTTTTTTTTGTGAGGGAAAGGAGAGAGGGATCATCCTGCTCTGGTGACAGTGGTCACAGTGTAGGTGATGGGAAATCTTGTCTTATCTGCCAAAAGCTAAGTAGTTCTGTTCAGCCACTTTTGTGATTTATACAACTCCGCCACACAGCACAGCCAGGAGGGTGACAACTTTCTCTGTCACATGTAATAAATACAGAGGTGTTCCCTCCACTCCGTGCGGAACGCTCATTGGACAATGGAGGAGCAACACACTGATAAGTTATCAGTTCCGCTTACTCTGCTCTCACCTGATTGGCTTCCACTACTGCCCGCCCTCCCTCCCCAGTCTAAGGGCTACTATACAGGGAACAGGAGGCTAATATCAAAACAGGATCTGATCCTTATGCTAGCTGGAGTTCAACTTTTGCAGCAGCTCGCTTCCCATGCACTCCATCAAAATCAGTTCTCAGCATTCCCTAAATCTGTCCAATGTACTCACCTGTTCCCTGTATCGGCCTTGTACCTCACTGTTGTCCAGCTCTCTCCTCAGACTCTCCATACTGGTCTCTGGTTTGGCTCCTGTGCACTTCGCTGCCCGATTCACAGCCTCCGAGAGGGAGAGATGAGGGCCTTCTCCTTGCATTGTCTGAAAGAGTGAGAGAGAGAGAAGCCATGATGAAATCACAACACAACAAAAGACACATTGCACCAGCCAAAACATGCCTACCTTACGTCTCTTGGCAGGCATCCCGCTCAGGTAGGCGTCACTCAGTGGTGGTTGCTGCTTTAACTTCCGTTGGTTCTGAATGTCCTGCCTAATGACGGGGACCCACTCCTGGAGAAGGAAAACCAGAGGGAGAGGATAGTACGGTCTCAATACAAGGGCCAAAAACAGAATGGTGAGAGTGTAACAGGATAAATAGTAAAGACCGGTGACAACCGAAAGGCACTCACTGGTGGCACCGCTGCTGCCCATGGCTCAGACCCGGCCTCTTCTTGTTGGGGGAGCTCGGAGTCCGGGCATAGAACTGGTGCTGAAGCCTGAGTGGGCAGAAAGAGGACTTCTTCCACTGTGGTGGCAGGGGCTGGAGAAGAGACACCCGGCTGCAGGACAGAATAAAGGGAGACCATCAATGTGTAATAGAATGCAATCAGGGGACACAGGAAATAGGACGGGGACAAATCAATGAGAAACTAAAACAGGATTTTTTTGAACTCCAGACATTACATTTTATACATCAATAATCACAAAATAGTTTTTTGGGGGGTTTCATCTTTCAGTTATTATCTCCTTCTTCCTCAACCCCACATAAGCGCGACAGTCAGAAGGGGAACAAATCTGTAAAAGGTGCATTTCATGATATACTGACGGGACGGATACCAGTGGTAACTGCAGCTCTGCAATACAGCGAAGGCGAGTCACTGCCCACACAACTGGGATTAGCAATCTTCTTTTATGGGTTGCCTAATCCCTCTGTGTAGACATGTGACCACACTGACCAATGAGAATCTCTTCTTTGTTTTGAGACGCTGTACCGGAAAAAAAGGTGGCTCAGAAGAGATTCTCATTGCACCAATCACTCCTCCGCATTGCAAGCATTATGTTGCCATAGAGCAGTGGTTCTCAACCTGTAGGTCGTGACCCAAAAGCGGGTCACAACCCACTGTTGAGGGGGTCACCACATGCTTTGTACTGCGCTAGGTGAGAGGCTCCTCAGCCACCCCCTAAAGCAGCAGGTTCAATTCCCCGGCCGCCGGATGGCGCTGCAGCACCGGCAGCCGAGGAGGATCAAAGAGAGGGTAGCGGGCGGGAGTGAGGGGAGTTGAATGCCGGCTTGACCACCACAGAGGCCCACACTGGCCACCAGACCGAGCGAGAGAGCCCCATTGACCGCAAGAGAGCCCACACTGGCCATCTGAGAGCCCACACAGATACTAGTATTGGTGCATTCCTAAATGTTACCAAGGGGTCCCAGCCCTAGAAAAGGTTGAGAACCACTGCCATAGAACCTCCAGAGCTGCGTAATGACGTTTTCTAGTGCCAGGACAGCTATACGGGCTGTCAGGGCGGCGGGCGAGGGTCATCATTACAGAGGGAATTGGAGAAGGGGGGATGAAGGGTGTTGTGAGTTGGTTGACCTTTTTATTTTTTGTGAAAATGTTAAGTAACCCTTTAAAAAGGTCATTTCTGCGTGTTCCAAAAGCCAAATAAACATTAAAAAAAAAAAAATCATACTACACGCCCTTCTGATGAAAATTAAATATTTTACACCATCTCTCTGCTCCTATTCCAGTCCATCCTGAAACCATCCATGACACGTGATCCAAAAAAAGCCCATGTAGCTAGATTCCGAAATTATAGCACTGAAAATTCTGCACAATACAGAAGGTATGCGGGCGCCAACAGACCCACTGAAAAGGACCTTGTTGGTATTACCTGGGCCTCAGGCGGAGAGGTCTCCATTGGCTGCTCCTGAGGGGACAGCTCTGTAACCTAGTGAGAGAGAAGGACAGAAGATGAGGATGGAATGGAAAAGCCATGGAACACAACCAGGACATGAAAAGATGTTCCTATGAATTGTGAAACAAAAAGAAAAACAAACAAACTGTTTCCACAGTAATCAATAAAAATATCCAATATTACTTCCAGTAAACAAATGCCTTATCCATGCCGTGCAGGACAACTGGTTCACTTTATTGGTGAATGGCAAAACAGAGGATATAGGGGTCCCAAGACAAAATGTCATCCCACCCCGATTTCACCTTAATGGTACCCCTCCCCCCTACCAGCAAGTACTTTCCTTTCACCTACCTGTCATTGGCAGTGAAGAAACCTATCTGGTACTTCCAAGTATAGGGAAGGGAAGTAAACCTTCCCTTCTTCCCAGGTGACAGCGCTGGTGTTTGGCCGTCACACAGGAGCAGGAAGCTTATACTCAGTGATGTGTAAGCTCCAGGTGACAAATCTCCAGTGAATGGAGCAGTCACAGAGTGAAGGGGAGATAGGTATATGTATGTGCCGCCAGTGGTGCCGGCATGGGGCATAGCACAGGTTCACTTTAAACAGGAAATTAAAACGCCAATCGCAGATGAGAGTAACATTTCAATGCTTTCCCTGATGAGACTTACTGCTATTGTATCTGTACTCACCCGAGGAGGGTCCCCCGCTCTGCGGACGTGCCTCTGCACCTCTCCTTCCGTCACCGGCATTTGGCCCAGAAGAGCTTGCAGTCGCAGGGACAGGACGGAAGTCACCCAGGAAACTAATGCAGGAGAAACATCGGTGGAGAGTCTCCTCTGAGAGGGAAGATGAGAGGGAAGTAAGTAATGGCAACACGAAACAGAAACCGACATCACAGCCCCAGAACATGGATATTCATTGTTCATCCCGACCGTCACCCAACAGTGCAGGGCCCCCAGAACTAGAATACAGCACAAGCATAGCGGCTGATTGGATCGCTATTTTGCAAAATCCGACCAAGAGCCTGGTTAGGGCAGAGTAGCTCCAAGGCACCACCCCATAATAGTAAACTACCAAAGGAAGAGATTGTAAGGGGCTTTAGATTGCACTCAGAGCTACATTTCAACTTTGATAGAAACATACATAATTTAAAGAGAAAAAACAGAAACCCGACCTGTATTAAAAACATAATACAAGTAACATGACCATCATGGACCCTGTATAGGACACCATTGGGACTTGCAGTAAATTACCGCTATCAGAAAGTCCTGCTGGAATGAGAAGATTGGATTGTGGTCTGATTGCCTCGGCGCGTTTCGCCTCTTCCAGGCTTCCTCAGGGAGGTAGATTTCAGAGACTCTCATGCTAAACCATGTTGCATCACCACAGCAAAACATCAAACATCCAAATGCTGCAAACCATCAAACCCCAGCTTCCCCTGGGTGGGCCGTAGGAGGAATAAGGAGGAGATCAGTGGCCGAAAGAGCAGGAGCACACCTCTAGTTAAGGGATCTATTGCAAGGGCTCCTCAGTGTGCCTTCAGACAGCATGTAAATCACTTGTTCCTCCAAAGCCAACACATAATTGTTCTGCGCTAGTACTTTACAAAGTTTAACAAAGCCATCACTGTGACACCCAGGCAACCAGCAATTATGTCTTGGCTTTGATTTACATGCCGTCTGAAGGCACTCGGATTGAGGAGCCCTTGCAATAGATCCCTTAACTAGAGTTGGGCTCCTGCGGTTCAGCCGGTGATCTCATTTGCCCTCTGGCCCACACAGGAGGAGCTGGGGGTTTGATGGATCGCACCATTGGGATGTTTGATGTCTTGCTTTGGTGATACATCATGATTTGGCGTGAAAGTCTCTGAAATCTACCTCCTGAGGAAGCCTGGAAGAGGCGTCCCTGCAGGCAGCGCCGGAGGAATGGAGAGGGGAATCCCTGCGGGGGGTGATAACTGACGGTCACTGCTCTCTGTAGGAAGCAGATCAGGAAATGAGCATTATGTGATCACTCAGTTATCGATCTATAGAGCCGACATATGGTAGCTGCAGTGTTACAGGTTGGCTCTAATTATGGGGATGAGTGCCTTTCACTCTCCTAATAATTCTCCTTAATTGGTTTTGCCTAGTGTCCATTTCTCCTGGAGGCAGCTGCATAACCCTTCTGGTGCAAACATTGTATGCTGCCTTTCCCTGTACCAGATGCTGTGCGTTGCCCGCTTTGTCTTACACATGACGTTTAAAATACATTACCACTGAACTGAAAGTGATGGATAGTTTGGAATAAGGTAAATCACTACAATGGACTATGAGACATGTACAAGCATAGGAGGTCACTTACGATTCTCTCGTTGATGACGGATGTGAGAGCGTGCTGGTCTCCTCGCAGGCAGTATAAATTCAGGGCAAGCCACTCAAACAATGACTGGTTACACATCTCCAGAAGCCGCTGTCCGAATGTGGCGTCTACAAGACAATACAAAACATTTTACTAGCTTCTATGACAGGGTAAGTCGGCCTTCAGAGCTCCTCATTTCTCTATTCATTTTACCAGAATTGCTGGATCTACTGCTGCCAACTTGGGGGGTGCGGACAGGAGGCAGAATATAACGGTGCGGCATTAAAAAAACAAAATCTTAAAAATTGCCGGTAAAAGCTCAGAAAAAAAATGGTTTTATAGTCATAACGGTTTATAGGGACACAGAGTCAGAAGAATTCTATGACATATAGGACGTCCAAAAGCAGTTCAACTGAGAGGTGGGCAACACAGCGACAAACATACCAACAGGCCCACAAGAACCTTAAAGCTTAAAGAGCTGCCTGAGGACCCTACGCCTGAAGCTCCCATCATCTGAGGCCTGAACATCCACCAGGGGTGTGGAAATCCCATCGCACGGAAATACAGTTCCCGGGCGGGCAGTTTTTTTCTACATTTAGCTCTGCTTTGGGCAAGCGGGGCGCCGAAGCACGCTTTATACACGTTATGTGATCAGATCACTTGCAGCAGCCTGATGGTCTGTCCCCTCCCTCCCTGCCTTGGTTTTCAGGCTCCCCCGCTCTTCTGGCGACCATGACAAATGAGCTCAGGATGGAGAGCGGGGAGCAGAGCGAAGAACGTCCATTCTCCGCTCTCTGTGTGATCAGTGAGACCGGAGCCCTGTAATCACAGCGCCACTTGTCTCAGCTGTCAGAAACTGCACAGATGATCTGTTCTGGAGGGCAGGTCCATAAAAGAGAACCTGTCACACCTCCAAACTATCACATATGGCTTGAAAGAGACAGACTGAGGGAGAGGGCGTAAAACATGCTTGTGTCCCCTATGTTACGAGTCAGCGTTCATGGCAGAAACTTTACTAAACAATTCTGACACAGTCGCAGACAATTCCTCCCTGGACAACAGAGGAGGGGAATAGGGAACAGTCCAAGGAGAGTGTGGACTCTAGCAGGAGATAGTGATCGGGGCCATCAGTGGCAGACTCAGGAAAAACACTGCAAACCGCCCCAGCTCAGTGGTTAGCTAGCTGGAATGTAGCACAGGATCGCTTCCCTTACCTTTCTGATCCACTATACTGACAGTACAAGAAGTGAGGGAAATCCCAACCAACCATTGAAGCAGGAGGAATTCAACGGTCATCTGTGACCACTTAGCAGCAAGGACGACAGATGCTGGACCTTGCAAGGAGCCGACGGTGAATCTCACAGGCAGAGCAAAGTGTGTGCGCACATTAGTATGTGTTGCAGCATGTAATGAATAATAGGATTTGGGGTTTTTTTTGGCAGTGTCCAGTTCTCCGTTAGGCAGCTGAGGAGGGAAAGAGCAAGGCACAGACCCTTTCCTATTCCCCCAGATACATTCCTCCTCCTGTGGGTTACGTACCTGCACAGTGTAGGATGTGCGTTGTAATCCGATTGAACTGCTCCTGAAGGAACTCCAGATTCGTTCTTGTGATGTCGACATCTTCGCGAACGGGGGCAGTGGCCTGGATGTGAAGAGACAAAAGGATGATAAATTAAATCAGAAGCAAAGGTTGTTTACACAGGTGCTGTTTCCTGTTGGCCCTTGTTCTGTTTGTGTACACTGAACTACACATACAACTCAGAGCACAGAATAAACCTGGCCATACACCTAGAGATTATCTGCAGACTTTCTATGGTCAGATGGGAAAAGTGACACAGATTCCTCCATCTATGCTAAACTGTGTGGATGGAGGAACCTCCCACTGGGCCAAGCTTCAGTATCTTGCTAGTCGGCACCGCTGGCTCTCAAAGCACCTGAGCAATGCCTGCATCCAATCAGATTGTTCAGGTATTTTGAGAGCCAGCGGGGCCGACTAGCAAGATACTGAAGCTTGGCCCAG